GTCATCTTACTAAATGTTAGAAACTTATGTGCTATATAATCATATATACATATAACTTTTAAAGGTTACAGTTATGCCTTAAACTGTAACTAACCTTCAGAAGTAGTTTGTCATGTTTCACACAATTGTATTTAGGTGATCAGGCTTACTGAAACACTTGAAACTTGTTCTTTCAGAAAACAATCGAAGATAAATGAACATATTGTGTTTCTAAGACTCCAGAGGTCTTACAATCATGGCTCACTGATCTTGTGATTGTCTTAGCAAGACTTCTATTTTTCTATTCTTTATAATGTTAGAGTACATATTGCTCTCTTTATGTATTCCAACATAATCGTCAACCAATCAAAAAATTTTTATTCAAAGTTACTGATGAAATTATATATAAGCACCCTGAAAATCTTAATTAATCAGAGCACTGATTTACTTGGTAATGATGTGGAGCCCAACTTCAAAGTTGTCTACTAAACCTGCATAGCAATCTGTGAATGGTGTCCTGGGTTGATTATTTTTGACACACAGCTCATATTGAAATTTCTTATGACTACAAAGCCGATCTGTAAGTTTTGCGGTAAGGTTTGGATAATTCTCCCAACATTTTAGACATAAATTGATTACTACCATAACCCATGTCTCAAAAGCAATACATTCAGATGATGAAGCAGATCTTTCCCCCAAAATTTCAATGTAAAACTGGATTGCATTTAATTTGCCAGATAATACAATAAGCAACATACTATTTCTACTATAAAAGTCTAAGTATTTTAACTAAGATGTTTTAATTTTTGAAAATGAGTAAAGATGAGAAATAAATGATTATAAATATTACTCTTTATATAGTGTTTACTATTTATAGCTGCTTTGACACATTTGCATTTTATACATAGCCTGAACTTCATGCTAGTACTTAGTAAAGATTTAAAAAAAATTGGGAGATAATCAACTCACACAAGAGCTTTCTTAAGCCAAGAATTGAATCATTCTAGACAAAAAAGTAAACAATTGCTGCTTTGGACATTTCCTAGTTTGGGAAGTGTAATCTATATGATTATGCCTATGTTCTTATGTATCATATTTTTACTTCACCACTCAACTATCCATTCACCACCCATCACTCAATCATCTATTCACCATTTCTATCCATTTACTCACCCTTTCATTCATTCACTTACTTATTCTTTTACTCATTCACTTAACCATTCATTCACTCATTTTAGCCATTCACCCGTTCAACAAATATTTATCGAGTGCTACTATGTTCCTGGTATTGGGTGGTGGCTATGACTAAGACATAGGTCTCTCCCTCAAGGAGCTCATTTTTGTATACATAAATGAACATATTATAATACAATGCAATAAATGCACCAATAAAAGTTTATACTCTACTGAGTATGAATTACTTTTATCTGTGAAGAGGTGAGGAAATTGCATCTGAACCAGGTTTTGAAAGCTGGGAATTGGAGTGCCCAGTCTGTAAAAGCAGTGTAAGATCCTAGACAAGGGAATAGCACGTGCAAAGAACTGGAGGCATAAAATAGCATGGTGTTTTGGAACTAAAACCATGTTATTGCTAGGATATAAATAAGTCATAACTTCTTTTATGCTAACTTTTTTGAAATTTGACATCAGTCTCATTCTCTTAAGATTTCTAAATAATCCTGGCCATCAAATCAGATATGAAAATTCCTTAACTGCATTAGAATGAACTTAGTCTTGGCCTGAAGACTCTTCTACCCAGTTGCTATTTTTCTCCTTTTCTGGATCCCTTTTCTCCCGTCTCCTACATATTACCGTGGAGGAAGACACTATGGATATGCTGACTGCTATTGTCCTTTCTGATAATCATTGCGCAGCAATGGCAATGTGGAGTACATTTTGTACCAGGGAGTTTTTGTCTGTGGTATTCAGCTAATAGCTAACTCTTTACCCAATTCTTAAGAAAAATTGAATAGCTCTTCAGGCAAATGAACAGGGCAGCAGCAGGAAATTTATCTGACACATTTTCTGTGGAGGAGCTGGTGGTGACTTAGGGTTGAGTCCATTTTTTTCCTTTTTTAGGCTGTCTGACTTATTTTACTTAGCGTGAGGGGTTACATATGTAACCCCAAACCTGTTGCCGCTGAGTTGATTCCGACTCATAGGGACCCTATAGGGCAGAGTAGAACGGCGCCATCGGGTTTCCAAGGAGCACCCGGTGGATTGGAACTGCTGAACTTTTGGTTAGCAGCTGAGCTCTTAACCAGTGTGCCTCCACGTACATTACAGACGCACAGAATCTTTAGGACCAAGAGGTCATCACATGAAACCCTCAGCCTGATTGATTAACTGTCAAAGTGACTGGTACAGTACAAACCATGCAAAATAAATATCACGTGAAGGGGCTTAACTAAGCTTTATTAACATTGGAATATGAGAGCTGCTCCGAACGCAGTGTCGGGTTTACAACTAATTGGCCACATCCAGTTACAGATTCCTTTGGGTTGGCAGTTTGAATCCACCAGCTACTTCTTGGAAACTCCATAGGGCAGCTCTACTCTGTCTTATAGTGTTGCTATGAATATGAGAGATTTACTCCTAAGGATAGTGGCCTTTTCTTAATAATTGTTAATAATTTTATTCACAATTTTGTGAGCTAGAAATCTTACCACATCCTTTTACAGCTAGTCAGAAAGACAGAGAAAACATTTACTGGGGGACTTTTTACGCCAGACAATGGGACAGATGCTTTCCTATGATAAACGCTGTGATGTGGATCTTCAGATGAAGGGACTGAGATGAAGGGGGAGGTGGAGGGAGGAACAGACTGTTAACATCTTCTGAGCCTACACTGTGAGTTAAGGACTGGCTAGACATTTGCATTCCTCATGTCACCAATTCCTTACTAAAACTTTGAAGGTAGGTATTATTCCCATCGTGTATAGGGAAACTGATGTAGAGGGGTGAAGTGCTTTGTAAATTAGTGATAGACTGTTTTTGCAGCTATACTACATTTTTAATAAAGCAGCTAAAGGAGGCAGAAGAGTGAATGGTTAGGGCAGGGACTCTGGAATCAACTGATATTGACTCAAAGCCTAGTTCTGTCACTTATGACCTTGGGAACTTACTCTAAGCCTCACTTTCCTCATCTGGAAAAAACGTGAATGATTGAACTGTATAGGGTTGTGTGGGGATTTTTTTTGTTAGTTGCCATCAAGTCGGCTCTGACTCATGGTGACCCCTCGTATAACAGAACAAAATGTTGCCTGGTCCTGTGCTATCTTCATGATCATTGGTGTGCTTGAGTCCACTGTTGCAGCTACTGTGCATTTTGAGTGTCTTCCAACCCAGGGGCTCATCTTCCAGCACTGTATCGGACAATATTATGTTGTGATCCATAGGGTTTTCATTGACTTATTTTCTGAAGTAGATGGCCAGGCCTATCTTTCTAGTCTGTCTTAGTCTGGAAGCTCTGCGAAACCTGTCCTCCATGTGTGACCCTCTTGGTATTTCAAATATTATAGCAGTATCATAGCAACATGTAAGCCACCACAGTATGACAAACTGACAGAAGGGTGGTGGACTACATGAGATGAAATGAGATAGTGCATGTGAGGTGATGAGTGCAGAGTATGACATGAAGTAAGTACTCAACAAATGTCAGTGCTGCTATTTTTAAAACAGAGGCACAAACTGGTATGTGATATGCCCTTTTGGCCTAATGAGAGGGAATGAGAGCTGGAAGCTACGGCCTCAACTTGAGTTCCTATTCTGACACTTCCTCCATTGTGTCAAAGTCAATAACAACAGTGAGTAACTATTAAGGTAACATATTCCATACACATATGTTTGTTTGTTTAGACAGAACCTTAGCTGATTTATAGACTTTTTGTACGATGAAAGAGTTAGAAAAAAATAAAGCAATTCCTGGCACTACCTTCTTAACTGTGTTTTGTTACAGACTGCTTCTGACTAAATTTTTCTTTCTTTTTTTATAATGCTTTGTGAATTTAATAATTTCTATTAGCTTTCTAACCTTGCTATTTTGGGGGGAAAAGGCAACAAAGAGGACTTTGAAGATATAACTTGTTTCATATATGATATATATCTAGGTCTGCTCCTAACAACGTATTTAACCACACATGTAATTTTATGGCTGTTTTCCCTATGTCAAGCTCTAATTTTGATTATATTCTATTTTATTTTGGATACTGTTTTAAGGTAAAAGCCCCCCCTCCTCCACCTTTCAGTTCAATAACACAATAATATTGGTATCCACTATATCTAACGCTCATTAAGACCAGGCACTAGGCTACATGCTTATCTAGAGTGTATTCTATTCTTACAACCAGCCATGAGGTAGGTATTATCATGCCCAACTTGTAGATGAGAAAATTGAGGCTCAGTAGCATTAATCAACTTGGCTAATCAAGAGGTTAGTGTCATGGTTTGAATTATGTCCCCCCAAAAATGTGTATATCAGTTTGGCTGGGCCATGATTCCTGGTACTGTGTGATTTTCCTATATGTTGT